CTCAATAAGTCATAAGAGTCCTAAATGTGAATGTACCTAAAAACAATATTTCAAAATACGTGAAGCAAAAAGTGATAGAATTTAAAGGAGAAATAGAAAAATAAGAAATTATAGTGAGACATTGCAACACTTCTCTCAGTAATTAGTAGAACAAGCAGACAAAAAGTCCATTGAAAACTTAAATAACACTCTCAACCACCTTGGCCTAATTGACATTTACAGCACACTCTATGCAGCAACAGCAGGATGCAGATTCAGTGCACATTGAACATTCACCAGAATAAATTATATTCTGGGCGATAAAAATAAGTCTCAATACATGTAACAGAGTTAAAATCATACAAAGCATAATTTCAACCACAATTAAACTGTAAAGTAGCTTGTAAGCATTTTGAAAAGGGTAATTATAGATGTATTAGAGGGGTAGGTGGGAGAATCCAGAAATAAATTTGCTTGGAGTCATCAAAAGTGTGGACCTCAGCTGTGTCTTCTTGACTAACTGTTAAGATGGCACAAAGCATGGCCAGTTGGCTCAGTCTTTTTGACTCCTTCAAGGCCACAGACCCTTTCAAGACTTCTCCAGTCACTACCCCGGGATCCAGAAGTCCCCTGTCACAGAAGCAAGGTAGGCAGTGGTGTGCTCTGCAATGTCCAGTGAAAAGCTTCTGCCTCCAAATATCTCCCTCCCTCCTGTCATGGTGACCACCGCTAAAGTTGTGGTTTTCTTGAGAAATTTTCTTGAGAAATGTCGTTGTAAAATACTTAAATCCCAAAAGAGTTGTGAACATCAGCCATAAACATTTTATAGTAAACCACTTCATCAGAGGTAAACAACTCATTTTTGTTGAGTTGGAAACTTTAATTTCCAACTTTAATTGGAAATTAAAGTTCCAATGCATTTTTTTATGGAGAGCATGAGAAAAAATCAAAGTGCCTGGATTATGGTCCTGTGTAAGTAGAGCAACCTGGATGGGGTGCTTCTGCACGTACCCCGAGGAAGCTCATGGTGGCGAGCATTAGTAGGAGGAAAGAAAGAGGAAGAGGGCCAACATCTGGGCGCAGTGCAGGAAGAAGCTACGGAGCCAGGCCTATGTATGATTTTCTTAGGGCCACCTGTGTGATGGAAGGGCAAGACCACGAGTACCAGAAAACTGCTTCCTGCCCCCACTGCAGGTACCGTCGCAGGTCTGATCAGAGTGCAGATTTACTCCCTCATTTTCTCTGCCGCCCCGGGGATCCGAATGACCGAGACGTATGCTGGCAGGCACCCCACGGGCAGCAAGGCCTTTACTATGGAATGTTCCATGACGTGGACCCAGTGGTTCCAGAGGGAATATTTTCTTAAGGGGTACTGGCTGGAAGATTTATTTTGTTGGATGACATTCCTTTGTTTCCCAGGGTCTGATCAGATGTCCTTGCTCTGCCCTATCCCTTCCCTTAGGCATAAGATGATCTACTGAGTTTGTTGTGGCAATGTGAGCCTTGTACTTTCTGTCCCATGGGAAACCTACTGACAATCTGACAGGTAAGACAGTCAGACACCTCTTGGTGTGATTTGAGGGGCTCTTTCTTCAAGGCCATTTCTTTTCCCCAAATTTCCCTTCTTATAGTTATAGCCTCATTTATTTGACTGAGGCCTGCACATTATATATGTCTAGAGGGCAAGAACTGAGCCTTGTCTATCTTTGAACCCCTTTAAAGAAGGGTGGGACTTAGGGCTTCTCACATGCAAGTGGGCTCTATCAATATTTGTTGGATGACATTGCATTATTTTTATAAAAATGCAAAGTCTCTTGGAGGAGTGCAGGGATAAACCTTACTGGTCAGATGTGTATTATAATGAGTATGGAGAATTCTCTTCCAAGGGAAGAGTGGTGCGAGGGAAAGGTTACAGAGATGGTAGATAATGTTTTGAAGAAGTCAAACACTGAAGCAATGGAAAGGTATATGTTTATTGACACACAATAATTGTGCATATTTATGGATTACAGTGTATTTCAATACTTGTATACAAAGTGTAATAATTAAATCAGGGCAATTAGCATATCCATCACCTTAACAATGATCATTTCTTAATGCTGGGAACATTCAAAATATTCTAACTATTTGAAAATACAGAGTAAATTGCTGCTAACTAGAGTCACCCTACAGTGCTATAGAACTGTGGTCCCCAACCGCTGGGCCATGGACCACTGCCAGTCCACAGAGCTACACCGCCCATGCCCCATCCATGGAAAATATTGTCTTTCATGAAACTTTGCAGGGGTCTGGGGGGGAGGGACGGTGCACAGCAGGAGGAGCGGCCAGCAAGGGAAGATTCATCTGTATCTACAGCCCCTCCCCACCGCTCACTGCTGCCTGCGCTCCACCCCACCCTCCAGCCATCTGTGAAAAAAATTGTCTTCCATGAAACTGGTCCCTGGTGCAAAAAGGTTGGTTGGGGTCTGCTGCTTTAGAACATGAGACCTTATTCCTTCTACTCAGCTATAATTTTGTAACCATTAACCAACCTTTTCCTATCCCCTTCTCACCTCCCTTCCCTAGCCTCTGGTAACCACTATTCTACTGCTAATTCTATGAGATCAGCTTATTTAGCTTCCACATATGAATGAGAATGTGCAGTACTAATCTTTTTGTGCATGGCTTATTTCATTGAACATAATGTCCTCCAGGCTCAGTCATGTTGCCACAAATGATGGGATTGCATTATTTTTTATGACTGAATAGCATTCCATTGGGTATATATACCACATTTTCTTTATCCATTTATCTGTTCATGGACCCTTGGTTGAGTCTATATCTTGGCTATTGTGAACAGTGCTGCAACAAGCATGGGGTGCAGGCAGCCCTTCACCATACTGATTGCCTTTCCTCCAGATATATATCCAGTAGTGGGATTGCTGGATCATATGCTAGTTCTATTTTTAGTTTTTGAGGAATCTCCATATTGTTTTCCATAATGGTTGTACTAACTTACACCACACCAACAGTGTCCATGAGTTCCCTTTTCTCCACATCGTTGCCAGCATTTGTTATTGTTTATATTTTTGATAAAAGTCATTCTAGCTGAAGTGAGATGCCATCTCATTGTGGTTTTGATTTGCATTTCCCTGATGATTAGTTATATTGAGCATGTTTTCATATTCTTTTTGGCCATTTGCATGCCATCTTTCATTCTGTTGATGTGATGTATGTATCACATGTATTGATTTGAATATATTGAACCATCCTTGTATTCCTGGGATAAATGCCATTTGATCGTGGTGCATAATCTGTTTGATATGCTGTCAGATTCAATTTGCTAGTATTTTTTTGAGGATTTTTAAATCAATGTTATCAGGGATATTGGTCTGTAGTGTTCTTTGTTTGTTGTGTCCTTGTCTGGTTTTGATATCAGAGTAATGCTGACCTCATTAAATGAATTTGGAAGAATTCCCTCTCATTTAATTTTCTGGAATAGTTTGAGGGGAATTGGTATTAGTTCTTTAAATGTTTAGTAAAGTTCAGCAGCAAAGCCATCCAGGCCTGGGCTTTTCTTTGTTGGGAGATTTTTCATTACAGCTTCAATGTCATTACTCATTATTGGTCTATTCAGCTTTTCTATTCCTTCCTAGTTCAATTTTAGTAGATTGTATATATCCAGGAATTTATGTTTCCTCTAGGTTTTCCAATGTTAGTGTGTAGCTGTTCATAGTAGTCTCTAATGATCCTTTGTATTTCTATGGTATCAGTTGTAAAGTCTCCTTTTTTGTTTCTGATTTTATTTATGTGAGTCTTCTCTCTTTTTTTAGAGTCTAGCTAATGGTTTTGTCGATTTTGTTTAGCTTTTCAAAAAGCCAACTTTTTGTTTTATTGATATTTTGTATTTTTATAGTCTCTATTTTGATAATTTCCACTCTGATCTTTCTTTTTTCTTTCCTTCTACTAATTCTTGATTTTCTAGTTCCTTGAGGTGCATCGTTAGGTTGTACATTTGAAATCCTTTTAATTTTTTGGTGTAAGGATTTATTGCTATATACTTCCCTCTTGTGAGGGGATACAGATATGAAGGGTACAAAAGAGACTTCAGCTGCCTCACAATGTGATTAAGGACTGACCGTGGGCAGCTACTGAGGATGCTCACTGTGTTCGCGAAGTGGCCCACGGGCAGCGGTGCGGCTGCCCTGTGATGGTGGCCCTGCAGCCACAGCTGGTTGGAGCGGGGGTGGATATCTGATTGAAGCTGCATCAGAGCTACTCTCTCTCTCAAGAGTTGACTCCAGAGACGGCTCCTGGGGGTTAGGGGCAAGTCAGCCTCAGCAGCGCGGCCCTGGGGGCTGAGTCCACACACCTCTGTGGCCTTGCACGCTGTGCAGCTGGATTGTTAGACGCAGGTTTCACAAGCTCCAGAACCCTTCCAAAAATACTCATCTTTGCTTAATCATACTTGAATTGATTTCTGTTACTTTTTAACAGTAGGAATGTAACTAATACAGAAATAGTTTTATTTTTTTAAAAAAAGTCCTCCTTTCCCCTTTTCTTCTTCATTGTGCTCCCCATTTCTGAGAGCAAGCGCCCAGGCTGGAGGCTGGGAGGCAGTGTGGCCGGAAGGACAGTACTCAGGCTCTGAAGTCAGACAAAACCCAGGCTGAGTCTCAGCTGCATTACTTTCTATGAGTAATAAATAGAAGGTCACTTTCTGTGTCCTTGAGAATCGTATCTAGGTTCTCCAAGACTCAGTTTCTTCATCTGAAAAATAGAGTTAATAATCTTTATGTTATACAATTGTTATGGGAAATAAAAGAGCCAGTATGCGCAAAGGGTCTGGCATATAATATAGTAAAAGCTTTTTTACTTTGCCAAGTAAAAGCTAGTTCTGAGTTTTTCCTCCTGCATTGCTTCATTTTTTCATTCATTCATCAGTCAATATTTCCACAAGCCTTTGGGTACTCTCGAGGGTCTAAGGAGGTTTCTCTTTAATGCTCTTGAATAACTTAGTTTTTGTTCTTTTCTCAAGTGTGCTGTTATAAGCATAATAGAGACACCCTGGTGCTTAAGGGCGAACATGGAATACAGGAAAAGGACAGCCAGTTCCAGTCCTGACTTGGACCATGGACACAGCGGTGAGACTTACACATGCCACTTCCTCTATCTGGGCCTGTTTCTCCATCTGTTCAATGAGGGAGTTGGCATAGATTAGAATTCTTAAAGTGGAAATTAATGTGTACCCAACAAGTGCACTACCGGCATTTTGGGTGGGATAATTTTTCGTTATGTGGAAGGACTGGTCCTCATGTCACATGATGTTTAGCATCCCTGGTTCCCATCTTCTAAATGCCTCTAGAGCCTCCAGACATTGTGACCAAAATGCTCCTACGGATTTTCAGACACAAGTAAGCAGGCAGTATGGCCCAGGTTGAGTAAGCACTCTGTTAGGCAAAAATAAAATAGTTACAAGTGATCACCCAGGTTTATGAGCTATCAGATTAAGCAAAGTTGAATAGGTTTCTTTAGAGTAGGATTCTCAAAACCTTTTATGTGAATGTGCACAATGGTTGGATCCTTTTCTCCCTTAACCCAGTTCTTACTTGGGATAGAGCTTGCGTACACCAATAAAGAGCAGATGTGTATTCCAGGGAAATTGTATTTTGTGTACTCTGTGTGAACTACTAGTTACATACTTTGTGTTACCAAAACTTCATGCTGGGCAGAGCAGCCCATTGTCTAAGAGAGAGAATGAAATAATAATTTCTTGTTGTTGATAGAAAGTCCAAAATAGGAAAACTCTGGCAGTGACACACTTTTCCAATCTGTCTACAGGCAATGCCCCTGCAGGGAAGAAGAGCGAGAGTAACAAAGTCAAGGTGAGAGAGCCACAGGAACACTGCGGCTAGAGAAATGCAAGAATTACCTGCAAGAGATGGGCTATATCCCATCTCCATCCCTCATTTACATTTTATAGGCCAAGCTCACAGAGGCAGAAACAGCAGAGAAATAAAAGTCCCTCTGCTGTGTCCGCACGAATTTAATATTTCATTACCAGTGAAGATTGAATTTTACATTTTCGGGTCTCACCTCTCCGTCTAAACTCAGGCCCTGTTCCAAGATACACAGCTCGGTCGGGGAGTTCACAGCTTCATTTGCAGACTGTCCTGAAGGCCTGGAACAGATTCTCCTTGTTGCCATTACATTTTCATTAGAGCTCCACCACTCAAGTTGGTCTATTCCAGTTCCCTACTTCTTCTGTGACTGGTGTGGCTGACTTGATTATCAAAGGTGAATAGAATGGGGGTCAATAAGGAAGGTGTTTCCCAGGGACTTTAAGTAAAAAAATATCCTCAGGGACTTTAAGTAAACCTCAGAGAGCCACAGGCAAGACTTTTCACTCATTGACTGAACAGACTTTTATTGAGAACCTAATATGTTGCAGGCACTGCTCTGGAAACTGGGAAAACAAGAGTGAACAGGATGACCAAGGTCCCCGCAGTTGTTGAGCTTGCATGGAAGTAGGGGAGACAGACAGTAAGCAACTTAGAAAATGAATGAATAATAAAATGTCAGGTACAGACAAATGCCACAAAAGAAAATGCAGAGGAAAGGGCTAGTAGGCGATGAGATGGGGTTAGAAGTTGCCTATTTTATACAGAGTGGTCAAAGACAGCCTCTCCAAGGGAGTGACAGCCAAGCAGAAGCAAGGATGAAGCAGTGAACCAACCATGTGAAAATTTAAAGAAAACGTATTCCAGGCAGAGGGAACAGCGTGTGTGACAGGCAGAGGGAACAGCGTGTGTGAGTGCTTTGATGTGGTTGGAAGTTGGTGGGCTCACTAAGAGCATGAAGGCTGGTGTAGCTAATGGGAAGCGAGCCTGACAGGCTGCAGTAGAAAAGAAAGTCAGAGAAGTATGACGGACTTAGCGTGTACGGAGTCCTGGAGAGTTTGGCGCAGAGCAGTGACTCTATTTCATATTTAACAAAACCATGTAACTGTTAATTGGAAAACAAAAAGTAGAAGGTAGCAGAAGAGCAGGAGTATATCATAATAGGGCATAATTAGGAGCAGGGAGGTCAGTTAGGAAACTTTGTAGTATTTCAGGCAAAGGTGGTGGCTTGGACTAAGGTGATAGCAGGGGAAGTGTTAAGAAGTGATTGAACTGAGAGAGTGCTCCAAATATTTCATTTATTCTCCTGTATTTCTCAATCTTTCTGCAGCTACATGAGGGCCAGGTGACTACTTCTGAGTAGGACTGGCAGGTGTCACGTCCAGACCATGGCGACTAGTAGTAGCTGGTGCACCTCCTCCATTTCTCTCCCCTGCTCCCACAGCGGCCCAGAGATGGACTAGGCTCTCCCAGCCCACACTGAGCAAACTTTTCTTATGTTCAACTCCAAGATTTAAAGTGTTTATTCTGGCAGCTAACTTTTTTTACCCTGAACAATACAGGATATATTTTGAAGTTGAATCTAATAGGACATGCTAAGGGTATGAAAGAAAGAAAAGATTCCAAGATGACTCAACACATTTTTTTTTTTTTTATTTTTGCTAGATCACTAGGGTGGGTTATGGTGTCATTATGCAGATGGAGAACACTAAGTAGGAGTATCAGGTTTGACAGTAGAAACCAAGAGTTTGAATTTGGACCTGTTGAGTTTTCGTTGCTCATTAAATATCCAGGAGAATTGGCTAGCAGATAATTGGATACGTAGTTTGGAGTTCAGGGGAGGGTCACAGCTGGCAATACAGATTTGGTAATCATCATTCTTCAGATTAGAATTCAAGGCCATAGGACTGGAAAAAACCATTCAGGAAATTAATACAGGCAGACAAGTATATTATTGAATATAATGACAAAATAGTACTCAACTCAGTGTGGTCTCTGGTTTACTGTAGAGGAAACACAGAAATAAAGTAAATCAAACAGATGATGATTATACCTACTCCTTTCTCTCTTGTCCCACACCTGGTGTAATTTTGATATGGTCTCTTGAGAAAGATTATATGATGGTGATGGTGGTGTTCAAGAAGAAATGAAGGTGGTGTATAGAGTAATAGGAGGATGGAAGTGCTTTGTGCAGAATCAGCCAATATTGGATCTTCCTCAGTTTAGAAGATCATTTTGTGGCAGCCTAAATCATTATCAATTGTATTCTTCACACCCTATACCTTCTTTACTGCAGCCAAACCCTTATACGCATACTGGACCTCTAATACACTCACGGTATAGGATGCTGATTTAAATTAGGGTGAGAACTTCAAAACTGAAAATGATCCAAGTTTGGCTGCCTGAGCATTCAATTAGTTTAGTTTTGTTTGCATTATTTTAAAAAAGGAAAGGAAGGATGATACCAGCAAAAATATTAGAGTAAGAATTTCTAAAAATTTATCACTCTATAAAAGCAACCAAAAATTAGGCCAGGCACAGTGGCTCATGCCTATAATCTTAGCACTCTGGGAGGCCGAGGTGAAAGGATCTCTTTGGGTCAGGAGTTCAGAGCAGCCTGAGCAAGAGTGAGACTCCCATCTCTACAAAAATTAGAAAAATTAGCCAGGTGCGATGGCACTCGCCTATAGCCACAGCTACTCTGGAGGCTGAGGCAGGAGGATTGCTGAAGCCCAGGAATTTGATTTTGCAATGAGTGAGCTACGAGGATACCACAGTACTCTCTCTGGGAAACAGAGTGAGACTTTGTCTCAAAAAAAAAAACATGCAACCACAAATTAGAAAAAGTGCCCAGGATCGACTCTTTCAGAACTCTGGAAATAAACTGGCTGAAATTCAGTAAGAATAGCAAGATCTGTGGCATTTAACTTGCTTTAGTCCCACTCTGCAATTTCAGGGTAGCCTCAAAATTAGAAGCCCACAGGTCAGTGCAGAGTGGCAGTCACTGGTGTTAGCAGAACAGAGCTGGAACTTTTTCAAAGACTCATTCCCTTATAATTGTCATTATTTTACCTGCCTGGTGGTTCTTTAGAAGATCCCACTTACAAGGCTGAATCAGAGTGCACAAAGTGAGCGTTTTCCTGAGGATGGGAGAGATAGCATTGGTTCAAACTATTATGGCAAATGTTTTAACTTTGTGGCTGCCTGAGGTGACAGACAACAGCTGGAACAAAGAATATACAACTAGAAGCTCAAAAGGAATGGCTAGGGAATGAGATGTCAATAGGGCTTTGAAAAGCTTTAACATATTCTTGAATCTCTGGAAGGTCTTATGCACGTACAGAGTTATGTGCGTGCACAGGAAAGATGTGAAAAGGCCTAAGTTTTTACCTCTGGTTGACTTTGAGGCTCTGCATAAGCAGGAAGTGAAGGCTAAGGCAGAGCTGTGAGATGCCTGGCTGGGTGTTGAAGATTGCTCCAAGACATACATACAGAAGCCCTTGGCAATGACTGGGAAATTTATTGGTACACTTATCAGGGAGAATTAGGTTCTGCTGCAATTGACAGAAAATCCAAATAAGACAAAATAAAACAAAAATAAATAACCCAATGACTTAAACAAGATAGAAGTTTATTTCTCTTCCATGTAATGAAGGCCAGAGGTAAACACTTCAGGACTGGGATTACAGCTCTGGACAGCAGGGCCAGGCTCCTTCTAGCTTTTCATGTAACATACCTAGGGTAGCCCATATTCTCTGAGCTTAAGATGGATGCTAGATTTCAGCTATTATATTGGTATTTCAAGGGCAAGATGGACTAAGGGGTAAATAAGAAAGGAACAATGGCACACATCAGCTATCTTTTAAAGTTTCCTACAATTGACATGCACTTGTCATTGAACAGCAGTAACTCCCATGACTACACCTAGCTGCAAGGAAGGCTGGGAAATGTAGGTTTTATTATGGGAGGCTTCATGTTCAGCTTATGACTGGGGAGAATGGGAGGAAAGAAATGATGGATATTTGGGTAGACAACCTACAGTCTCTGCCATTGTGTGATTGAATGTCTGGAAGAGAGACAGTAAAGACATTAAGAGCTGCATCAAAGTTGGCATGGGGCAAAGACCATGACTACATCCAGGGATTGCCATACAAATGGGTATAATATCAAGTATGGTCCAGGATCCAAAATGGAAATAAACTCTACACTAAAAACAAAATCCTTCACTCATGCTGCAAGAAGCCCTAATTTTAAGAACTTGTTAAAGACATCCTTTTGCATCCCCCAGGCAGTGCTTTTTGAGCAAGGGAGTTGAGATATTTAGCAAAATACTGTTGCCTAGGTGACCTTTGCAATCCTTTAAAACCGAAAAGCCCATCAAATTAGGTTGAGAAAATGTAATAGAGTCTCTTGGAGATTAACAATGCCCACAATACGTTCAAAGCTCAGAGACGTCCTGCAGTAGAGATACTTAACTTTGTGAAATCTAGCACTTATGTTATTCGACCCAAATATTTTCCAGCATGTCATGAAATACTGCCATTCCTCAGAATACAGTTTGGGAAACTATGCCACAGAAGAGTATTTATTTATCTACAGAAAGTCCTTTTAAAAATGTGTAATAATTCATGGACTGATACTTTTATTTAAAAATACTATAAAAATGAATTACTAGAAAAATGAAAAAAAGTCTCACAAAATATGAGCCAAATATTTTCTTATTATAGTCAATAGTCATAAACTTACTCTGTCAAGAGGCTGAAAAAGTTTTTAACCATTTACTCTCAGAAGGTTTCCATCTGTTTACTGCAGCAACTTCTGTAGTTACTTCACTGCAGACAGGGAGCAGGCAGTTGGCGGACAGGCCACCCGTCAGCGCCACCACCCTGAGGCATTGCCCCTGCCCTCACATCGCTCCTGAGGGAGACCATCTCATGCCTTGCCTGCTGTCACCTTGGGATGCATGTTTTGCTGTTTCTCATGACCAAAATGCTGACATCTGTATCAAAAGATGCCTTATGGACTTGGGCTTAACTTGAAGAAGCAAAATGAGAAAAACCCAAGCTTGGCTTTCAGAATTTATTTCTTTTAACATAAGAGAAAGAATCTTCCCTGCCTGGAAACTGGGCTTAGCTGTCCCTGTTGGCCTTTTAATATTACTTCTGATTGAAGATGTATACAAAGGTACCTGGGACCTTAAAAGCGAGGGGAAAGCAGGCAGCTTCAGTGTGGAATCAGAGTTTACCTTAATGTTCCTGTGGACCAGTCCAGCTTCCAGCTCCTGCCCAGGTGTGCCCCTGCCTGTGTGACACCTTCCCGGTCATCACTGACAGCGCCTGCCCCTTCCCGCCTGTTCACCTCTCTGCAGTGGGTCCACTGCTACCTGGCTTAGGGTTCCTAGAGTGGTGGGTTCTGGCCTTTCAGGAGACCCAGATCCCTAATATTAGAAAGGTGCCCCAATTTCCTCCTACCTCTTTGAAATACAAAAGTTCCAGCTTCAGGTTCCTGGGGAAATGGAGTGTGAATGGTTGATCCTAAGAAGGGGCGTCATGGTGATGAAAAGACACCTGAATGTCAAGGTTGAGACAGAGACAAAGAAAATTTGTCAGCAGAGGAGTAATTCAGTGTGGGTGTGTGTGTGGGGGGGCTTCCCGGTGTCAGGGGAGAGTTAATTGGAGAGAGAGAGACCACGACAAAAATCAGCTTTTATCTTTTGTACCATTAACTTGGGTGGAGAACTGCTCTGAGACAGGACAAATAATAACTGTTTTGAGATCTAGCTAGTTATTTCTAAGAATGAGGCACGGCGAGCTGGCTGTGTTCCTGGCAGGAGGGAGAGCAGGGCACTTCACGTGAGCAGTTCCAGGACACCCTGCCAGGCCTCCTTGTTTCGGCAGAGTCTCCTGCCTCGGTTTCTATTGGCCAGGGCTGACCAACTGTCTCCTACCGGTCAACATACCAGCACAAATAACACAGAAGAGGAAAAAACAAAAAAAAATTATCTCCAAGCATTGTAACAAAACAAAATAGTGGAAAATTCAGATGGGAGGAATGCTATGTTCCCTCCTCTTGAAGTGTCCCTCTTTGTGGAGAGGCGTCTGTTGGCAACACACACCTGGCCCCTCCAACCTTTCATTCATTCCTCCCCAACACAGAATGACTGTCCTGGCGGGTGAGTTTGGGATGAGGACTTGAACCTGCATGGCTCACCTCCTCCTTCTCTGGAATACACTTGCAGATAATTTGGTCCCCTGTTTGGGATGAGTGCCCTAGAGAGCTGCCTGGACACTTGTGCTATGTGCAGAGAGTCGGAGTCCTGAGCCCTTCTGAACCATGCAGTCCAGTCCCCGCCTTGCGGGGTGACCTGTGACCGTCCGGTGCTGTTTGTGCCTGCGTGTGGGGCTGGCTGCTCAGCTGCAGGCTTGCTGTCGGGAAGCTCAGTCGCCACACTTCTAAGCCATGTTTCTGAACAACTTAGTATAATAATGGGAACAACTTATTCCATAAATAAATATTTTAAAAATCTTATGTTATTCGGCTTTCAGGCTGGGAAAAGAGTTGTGCCCCTAGGGACCCTCTCGAGCCTCCAGATAAGTCGTTGCTCTTCACCTTGCTTCTTGTGGAGGCAGAGTCTCTGAGAAGGACACAAAACCTACTTTGCAGGGCTCTTGCAGACTTTAATCAACCACTGTTTATGAAGACACTTCTGAATTGTAATGCAATAGACTAATGTAAAAAATTAATAGTGATGATGATGATGATGATGATGACAACGATGACAACTGTAAAGTGAAATATGAACTTCTTATCTTAGTTCTTGCTACCAATTCCTTAATTCTTCTTGATCTCCGCTACACCTGCCAACCCGATGTCAGGTAGGTGCTGAAAGCCCTTAAAATGAAGCATTTAAAACTTGAGTGTTTCTATAGGCCGCAAATGCTCTTTAATTTTCAGTTCTAGGAAATACATAAGGTAGT